ATATGTTATAGCCCACTAGTAGCGAAAAGCGCGGGCTTTTTGGTGGCAAAAAAGGATTAAAGTCTAGCTTTAACTAGCTAAAATTTTTTTATTCTCGATATTTTTGACCAACTAGTTGGATTTTACTAAAAAAATTCGTTTCCGAAAAGTTACCGGGAATGCACAGGCTTGACAGGGGCCTGGGCCCCAGGACCGGACTGGTGCCCAGTCTCTATGGTTCCACTCATGCGCTGTTGCCAAGCCTGTGCCACATATCATTATGGCCGCCAGTGATATCGCCGATGTTTAAGTGTTGTGAGTTATTTACTTCATTTTGGAGGACTTTTGATAAGGTTGTGTTGGGAGAGAAGAGTGATGGTGGATTAAGGAATATTGCGAATTTTACTATGGACATGTTTTATTCTGTTCAAGTTGGTGATACCATTTTTACGGTCTTGAAAAGGTATCGAAACCTTCAGATCATTGGTTCTGGCGCTCAAGGAATGGTTTGGTAAGCTTACAAAGATGAACATTGTTTTGCCCATAAAAATGTTATATCTTGAGCTTAAAAGCCATCGGTCGAAATACATTGTTAAGCCTGTTACTGAAAGATTGAAATCAATTGTTAATTTCCTTTAACAATCGACATGAAAGTGAATTATTTTTTGGCGTGATAAACTTTATTACTTCCAGGTCGGAAGATTGCTTTGAACCCATACTATGGGCTTTCGCGCTTATTTTGTTTTGAGAAGGGTGACTTATTCGTCGTAAAGAATGTAAGATATTTTTCTTTCGTTAAACTATCGCAAAGAGGGCAGTTCCTGTGTGAACCGTCTGAGATCGTAAGTTGCCTTTCCCTCGAAACTGTGACAAAGTGAAACGTTCTCTTTTTCGATTTTCTTTGTTTTTCAAGGTTATTCCCCCTTTTTAAAACATATGCCCGATTAATTTCAGAAAAAATAGAATATGTACTCATATATGTTGATGTGGTTAAGAGAGATCCCATACTTAAGAATATTTCGGTAATCTGTAAAAAGGCGAATTAATCACTCAAAACTAAACTCTTCTCAAAATAATATTCGGTGGGACACTATTTAAATTAACACTTCGCCTGGTTGTTGCATTGTTTTGGAATTTATCAGGTCATATTATTCAA